CGAAGAGGAAGATCGGCCAAGCCACGGGTTTCGAGCCAGTCGAGACCAAGCATGTTGAGCTTCGCCTTTGTGATGTAGCAGATCGCGTTGAACGTGGCGCCCCGGAAGGAGACGGAGCAGTGCAGCTGTCCAGTTAGCTGCACACGACCACCACAGGCGCTGGTGGCAGATTAAGAGGTCTGTTCGAACGGTGGCTTGCCAAGAGATCGCCAGAGATCCTCGGAGATGATTGTGATGTCCGACGCTGTGTCCAACTGCAAACGGACCGACTGACCGTTGATCAGAACGACGAAAAGAGTGGCGGTCCTCTTAAGGCTTTTTTACGACCAAAAATGGGCGAATCACAGCCAAGGCTATGGGTTATTAAGTTAGGGAAAACAGTCACCACGAATAGGTGGTAGTTTACAAATGACCATTGTCAAAAGGTGCGCAGTTGGGCCGCGTCTCGGAGTGGCTGAACCTTGCTGCGTTGCGTGGAGGAATTGGACCACGCTTTCTATAAAAATTCTGCCGGGGTTTCTGGTGCGTTTTTGCGGGAATATTGGACGTGCCCGCAACACTTTATAGCTTGGTAATCTATCTTTGACGGGGTAGTTTTAAACTTGCCGCATTATTTGCCTTGTTGATGCATAAATGACTTAAATGCACGCTTAATCTACGGTGGGAGTTTGGATAACCATTTAGTTCTAGATAGTGGGAGGACCTGATTAATGATTGACATACATTTTGGCACTAAAGACACTAGGCATCGTCTGGGTCTAAGTGCTGAGTGCTACTTTAATTCTTGGTGCCAGCGGCACATTTCAATTAAAGTGTACCGAGTCGACAGAAGTTTCGATGATGCATCCATCATTAGGTCATAGATGACAAGAAGATCAACAGAGTAAAATAAAATTACGCGTTGCTCGCTTCTACCCAACGACTGGAGAATAGCCAAGTTGGAAACATCAGCTAGTAAAGGTATGAGCAAAAGAGTGAGAAGGTGTAGCGGATGACTCGCAATAACCTGGTGGGCTCTGTAACATGTTGAAATACATAACAGGCATGGACGGTTTCGAAGAAAGCGGCGCCAAAATAAGTTGAAGAAGGAAGATAATGGAGTAAGTCACAATTGGCACTAGCGAGCTTAAAGTCTTCTAGCTTCCAAGAATCCCTGCCACTATCCTGCTTCTTAATAGACTCCAACAAGCAGCCTCCGGTAATCAAAGCGATTCTGTAAACCACTCCATCCTTAAGAGACGGGCAGCCGTCTTGAATTCAGCAACAAAATGTTCAGACCCGCACCCATTGCTACGGATTTGTTCCCGTGAGAGAAGAGATATTAGACCTCAGATCGTAGATCCTCACATCTGCTATTGATTGCGGATATTTCATTATCAGAAGGGAAGATATATACAAGTTTCGCGTCGTCAGAGAAGATGAAAGAGCTACCGTGCTGCAAACCCCAACATAGGTCATTGATATAAATCAAAATCGGGTAGGGTCAAGGACGCGCCCCTACACAACGGCAATGGCGACGAAGTTCCAGGTAGGTATAGTTTGCTCAGTCTTAACAGACCGCCTGAGTCCTATAAGATAGGAACTCAGCCAGTCTAATAGAAGACTGTCTATTCCGTAAGCCTTTACCTTATGCATCAGGCGCCTGTGTGGTACCCTGTCAAATGTCTTTTGCATATAAAGGTAAAGAATAACAACTAAAAGACTAGAGTCAGTGGCTTCGGTGACTAAATTGAAGAACTCCAGCTGACAGGTTGCCCAAGACCAAGCACTTAGAAATCCGTGCTGTGATGTATTTATGTGCTCGCCTGCATAAAGTTAACTCATGAGCGCTCCTTAAATCAACTCCTCCATAACTAGCGGGATAATAGAAGTTGGTTAATAGGACGGTAGTTACCAGCTTCCTGTAGGCTTCCACCCTTATGCCGTGGCATAATGATGGAATGTTTCCAAGTGGTCGGGTATTGACCATTCTGTATTGATAACGTAAAGCGTTTCAGAAGAAGAATGGGGATATCTTCGCCACCATTAAGTGACTGTTGCAATCCATCATACGAAAATAACATAACACACCTTTTTCTATGTATTCAATAATCAAAGTCCCATTTCCGCTCCTTATCCTATCGCCGCACCGTCTAACCATATATGTTATGTTATTTTGTTGAAGCAGAATTATATGCACGTTGCACGTGTGCCTGCTAAGTTGACAATCGTGCATATGTTAACTTCTACCCTTTACTTCGGTATGACTGATTTATACCATCTCCGTGCATCCGCAGCAGTATTACTCCTGCTCAGCTTGTCCCACTTCAAGTGCACGAAGTCTGTCCTCATGCTCTAGTTTAAACGAAAAGCACCATGGTGCCAACCATGTTTCGGCATTAGGTGATTACAATTAGCTAGCTTTCACTTAGGGATAAAGCAATATCTCCAAGAACTCCACTAGTGAATTTCACTAACCTTGGTCGTCATATAACTTCGTTCATCCATAACCTAATACTTGCGCAGCTTGGTTGATGAACAATGGTAAATACGTCATTTGGAATGGCTTTGAGAAATATCGAGCAATGTCTGAGACCAAGCACAGTAAGCCGTTTGCCTCGACCTTGAGGCTCATCTTGCAATGATCAAATAGCAATTTATTTTAATTTATATCAGATATCGTTCTACACAATCCACACATATTGGATGGGAACCTGCAAGAGATTTCGTTGTAGAATTAATAAAATCCACTTCCCCGAGACGTCTTTGATGTTGATACCCAGAACATGTGGTTTAAGGTTATCCATCGATCAAGGTCATTTGTTTTGGCTGGAAACATCTAATGTTCGAGCATCTGAGCAACAAGCGGGTTTAGTTAATTCTCTGCTTCCATCGCTATGGATATCTGATGCGTTTCTGGAACGCGGTTGCAAGACCAAAACACCAGGATTTAACTCATTTGTTTGCCCAATCACGAGGTCACAGACAAGCCTATTTTTTCTGGGAACGCGACGGTAGCAGCTGGTTTGGCTGACTCTGGTACGGTACTAAACGGCAACTTTGTTGACGCAACCCTGGCTTGGTTTTCGATTAACAGATTACTATGTGCATTTCGGCTTCAAGTCCCATAGAGAGTCAACAGACATCACGGCGAAATGCGCAACGTGGTTATATTTTCTGCTTCTGTGCCAAACGATTGCTGCGGTGAATCAACCCAGGGCGAATTCTATCACCAGTTTTTCACCAACTGTTATTTAAACCTGCCAAATCTGACGTCGTTATACTCGCAGCGAAATTCCATGCACGGGTTGGTCGCAAGTCACTAAGTAAATTGTAATGGAATGGTCATCATACACTACAAAAGATCGCTCAGCTAATGGAACTAGGCTTCTCACATCGTGTGAGTACAACAGTCTAGGTCTCGCAGGCACCACCTTCAAACACTCTAGGAGTCGCTGTGCCGCCCGGGGACTTCATACAACAAAGAGATTTTGGTCTCAACTAGGCCACACTGCAATCAGTTTTAAATAAGAAGGTAGCACACAAGGCTAGGTACTTTTGGACAACTTATCTAGATACAAATAATATGCTGATTTGTGCCAAACTCTGCGCGCGTTTCGTAAGGTTCTCAATACGGAAGCATTTTAATCTCTATAGAAATAGTCTAGCTAGTCAGTCGGCTCAGCTGATGTAACGACTGTACTTATAAACAATGTAGCCGTATTCGGCTTACTAACCTTTAACACACCTAATGTGTCATACAATACACAACGCTAAATTCGTGCCAGTTAGTCTGTTGATTAATTCATGACCTCTAGAATTGTTGGATCACGGCGCGCTCACTAGCACTTTTCGACCCCTGCGAACATTCCCAGTAAACTCAGACCACAACCAAATGTTCAGCATTGTTAGCCGACCGCTAGAACCAAGTATTCGTGGAGATCGGGAAGTGTAATGATCTTAACGTGGCTGTGAGACGGACGCCACAGCTGCCAATGGAAGTACGCGGAGGCCGTTCTAACTCATGTGAAATACTGGGCATTAATATAGTCGTCCTTGAGGCAGGTGGGTGGCATATTTTTTAGCTTGCACAGACCGATGGACAAGTGCGCTGAAAATTTACTACTTTAATTCAGTTGCCCTTCGCAGCCTACATTTGGACCCAGCACAACAGGTTGCAATGTAGCGGCGGTGTCGCTGGAATCACCCACGAAAGCAGAGCTATTTCTTCCTATCCTACACCTGAAGTATTATAAGGTTGGAAGCTTAGACGGACGTCCACCAGAAATGCTCAAGTACGGTGATTTGGCAGTTGTCTCTCAGCTATCATCTATTTGTCTGATGACATAGCAGTAGATACATTACCCTCCTCTTGAGCAGTCAGTAATCACCCCAGTTTTCAGCAATAAAGTGGTTATATTACTTTGCATGAACTGCTGTCTATACCTAAAAACTAATCTTTATTTTCGGGCACCTAATTAATTCTAATCGATAGAACACCCAGAAGACATTTTGAGAACTATCTGCAGAACTTGAACAAACTACACTACCATCCATTAATGTTGTACAAAATATACAGACCACATAGTGGTCTTGCCTCATGCAACATCAAGAAATCTAAAATTTATTCATGCATTTATTTACTTTATGCTCCATTCATGGATGGGTCTAGTGACTTTCACAGAGAATTGGTTATCATCGGACATCCTTGACTCTAAAGTGTATATTCCAAGGTATACTTATTCTAGAGCGGATCGTTTTGAAGCGTGGTCTGGTGCTAGTATGATTCTCTATTGAACCTAAGATCTCATGTGTCATCTACGGGAAGAAATCGGTAGCAATGCGTGCGGGTCTGAACATTTTGTTGCTGCATTCACGACGGCTGCCCGTCTCTTATGGTTGGAGTGGTTTACAGAGTCGCTTTGGGTACCGGAGGCAGCTTGTTAGAGTCTATTAAGAAGCAGGATGGTGGCAGGGATTCTTGGAAGCTAAAAGACTTTCAGCTCGCTAGTGCCAATTGTAGCTCACTGGAACGGATTATCTGTGTGATACCAGTGGTTTCACAAAAAGTGGACACAACGTTTGGCCCGTACAAATAGCCCATCCCGATAGGATTCTGCTCCCAGTTGCCGATATGCTCATCCGGATCGGACCAGATCAGATGAGATAGGATAGAATTGCGGTCAATCGATGCTGGACGCAAGATTGTTTGATTCAATCGGGTTTCCAGTTGTCCCACACTAGTGATATTATAGTACTCAATCAAAGGAGATAGACCACCGTGTATGCAAAGCACTTGTTCGTCCAACAACACCGCTGCTGGTAACAGAGTGAAAATGGCTGTAACGTCATGCCACAAGCGTCGACTATACCTCTTCAAACAATAGTCCGTACAATCCGTAACTGCGGCTAACCAGGTCCGATTCATGTTTGCCACGGAGCAGATAGAGTGAGTTGGGATATAATAATTTGTAGGCAAACAGGATACCCAAAGTGTCCAAACTTTTGGCACCCTGGTCGGCATAATTTCCCAGGAACACGTATCGGGCGTAAGGGGGGTGACCGATGGTATTTAACATGTGCATCAGGTGGACAAAGTGACCACGCAGATCACCGACTACATGTATTGGTCGGTCTAAAACAATTTTGACACATGGCGGTTCATTCAGTAGGGTCTCAGGTAGAAGATAGCACATGTTGGACATTTCCGCCTCTGTAATCGTACTATTTGTCTCTTTCATCACCTGTGGGTCGGTGAGTCTACTGATAACGCGTTCAACAGCTCGTATCATGTGCTTACGCATGGCGTTAGTTATTCCCAGACGAGTAAGAAGATCGGCACTTTGCTTATCCATGTTGTATAAATTCCCTACCAGCAGAGTGTGTTAGGCGCTCCGGTGACAATAGTAATCGATCGAGGTTCGAAGCAGCAGCTCACGTGACAGACCTTGGCAGCTCAGCTGGGTTGGCCATCCAGGCAACGTGAAGGCAGCTATAGGAGTCTGTAGAATGTAATTTAAATGCGAGACCTGTGTTAGATTGGTGTCCACATCAGGAAACATAATAGTCTACGACTAGTAAGTAGGGAATGTTGATGGTCGACAGAGATACTGCCGAGATACTGGGATACTCTTATGGATAAATGTCTGTAAAACTTGGTATCACTTTAGTCGGTAAGTAGCAACTTCAAAACTGACCTTAAATCAACCTAACCTCTTTTTCCACTTCTCTAAAGCCACAGTCCGTGGCGGTAATTATAGGGGAAATTGCTGCCGACAGATAGCAAACGTCTCCTTAGCTTTCGATTGTTTATTATATTACCTGAGTCCGGTTCCGACATCAGCATCAACATTGTATAGGCTAGTTAAGGGCAAGAAACATCTCGGTTGCTGTGCCTAAACACAAAGTAAGCAGGTGAATGCATACAGCCGATACGCCCCTCCGTATCGGATCAACAAGTCCAGTCAGATGGATTACCGTCAGCAATCCAACTATTGGTTACTCTCGGAGCGCTGGTGCAAGATTTCCATTTAGACGACGATACTTATGTTAATGTGAGATAGTCCTTGTTAATTTCTTGTATTGCCTTATTTCAAGTCCTCCTGGAAGTTAAAAACGTATTTGTGTTTCCATGTGGTTACTGCTATCACGATCATTTTGAGTTTTCTTTGTCTACTGAACCCTGGATTCACGGTTAGTACCACCTAGGTCAGTGGATAAGCTAGTCATTTTAGACGCTATCCGCCAATCTTTCGGAGTATTTTTGTCATTTGCCTTGAGGGCTGCTAGTGTCATGCTTTTCTCATTTTTGTTTTGCCTTCCCTTTCCATAAGATGACAAGTGCCAACAGCATGTACTTCCAGTGATAGCACCCTCGTGCGAACTTGGAATTTTGGGTGGGCAAGGAACCTGTCTAACCTCGCCTCTCCATTTGGACTACACCGGAGCGATTAGGCACATGGATTTCGCTTAGCCTGAGCTACAATGTACGATCAATCTTAGAAAAATTGTTTACCTCAAGTACATGTTACAGCGAAGGAGATTCTCTAACGCAGTTCTAGTTATGTTACAAGAAAGTTAGCTATGTTCCCACACTGAAGAAGCCGCTATGCGATTTCTTGGTTATCGATGTATTAGATCCTACAGACCAGGAAAGCTCCAGCACCGCGAAGGAGCTGTAGTCAGTTATATTAGCGAAAACTGGGGTAAATCGGTTTCACGTCTGTTTTCATACTCATTGCCTTCAATAAGCTGCCATCTGTTGGATTGTGAATCATAGTTTCTAAGTGGTGTTCTATCTGCCGTATTTTGGGATGTCTATGTAGCGTCCGACGCAGCACCATCAGAGATGAAGACGTTTACGGACGACCGTGCCTTGGAGTTCCAACAGCAGTTGAAATACTTTATCTGCATCGTCGCTGGTGAAATCAACATGAGTGACAGTTTTCACTAACACGTAGATGGCATCAGCGCTGGTCACACCATCGGCTATTTCGGTCCAACAGCCATTCTCAATCAGAATATTAGAAATAAATGGGCGTTGCTGACGGAATGCTAGTAGTTCCTGTGCCATGATAATAGACCTTTTAAAGTAGTCCATTAGAGATTCAGCTATGATTGATTTCACAGCCTTTGAGAGCACCGTGAGGGGAATCACTGGGCGATAGTTGACGGGCTTCGAACTGTTACCACCCTTGAAAATTGGTGTGATGATACTCTGGATCCACAAGTTGGAGACCAGCTGCTCATACAAGCATCTTTGGCCAAACCGACCTAATGGCTCAGCTATCCTCCTAGCTGCCACCTACATTGTTTTAGAGGAAATGTTGTCAAGCCCGGGAGTAGTGTGGGTGCGCAACGATGGCAGCTTCTTCAACAGGGTCGCTGAAATAAAAGTGACATGTGTTAATATTGGTAGCTGGGGGAATGAGACATGTATGTGGCATATGCTGGTGGTGCGTCGAAATCTTGAAGCATATTGTAGCTATAGAACGTTGACTACTTCTCTGACAGTTTGAGCACATCTCGTAATCTAGAGGCAACAAGCTTGTCTCGTAATCTTGCGGCGCGGGTTCGACTCCGCTTAGGGTTGGGCGTCCTCACGTCATACTCAGCCCGCGTGCGACTGGGGGCGGTCGCAAGGCAGCGAAGCGCCGTTACAGCGTACAGCTGGCACATTAATTATTTATTAGTAAGTGGGAGAACATCAAGCTTCACATTCTTGAACTTGTTCACATGTCTGTACAGAAGCTTGTTGTTAGCACAAAACCTTTCAGCTGGGTTCTGCTGGTTTGCCAATTTTTCCTCGCATACAAGTGTGGTACGATGATTACGATGCACTACATAATGGCTCCAGTTGTCAGGATTAGGGAACGCTTTGTAAACATGAAACGATGCGTCTCATAACGCCATGCTTTTTTGGCTTCTGTCCTAACGATTGAGGGTGCACCTGTAGAACGAATGGGCGTGTTTTTCGATGCGGATTAAGTTGGCTGGCTGAACTTGCCAGCAAACTCCGTCCATGCAGTACGAATAGAACAATTATCCGAAAAAGCCCGAGTCGTAACCCCAACAAGTTCTGTGAGTGTTTCGTAGTGCATGCTTGTTCGAAACAAGTCACTTTGTTCTTGTGGATTTTCCGCATAACCCACATAGTCCGCCCTATAGGTTCTCCAAGTTTGGTCTCTCGAGCATGAGCATTTCGTTCGTGAGCACTAAATCATACACAGACGGCTTACTCCCCGTACTGCATCTAGTGGACGAATTGACGTGGCCAAAGAGCGGAATGTTCGCAATAAGCTCTTGCAGGCCTGCATTGAATCGTTTGTTAGGAGAAGCCGAAACTTCCAAATCATGAACATTGTAGTCGCCGGAGAGGAGGACATGGCTGTGTCGTCGTCGAGGTGCCCTCCAGAATACTAATGTCAAGCGGGAGTCCATCACTGGGGTACACATTGGGGATTATAAACAACTGTCAGAAGGCAGGTGTCGTTGTGTCTTAGTCATAGACTGCACCAGTGAGTCTCTGAGCAGCGTATCTGGATCGTCCATCGTTTCACACTCAAGGTCGCTACGGTAATATAACATTAAAGTACCGTCTTTACAGGTGAGCTCGCTTACAATAAGGGACATGCCATTTAAAGCGACTTCGGTGTTTACACTTGAATGCAACCAAGTTTCCATTACCAATAGTAGTCTCAGATGTATGATGTTTGATGTAGCCGCGGCTTGGCAAACTTGCTCATGAGATCTTGTGCATTTGTGCACATGCAGGAAAATTGCCCTGTTCTTAGCAATGCATCAGCAATGCATCAGCGCTTTGGGTATCATATTGAGAAGACCGATGAAAGGTCGACAACTCATTGTTCATTGGTTGGTACGATGACGAACTCGTCTACGTCAGTTCCGGGCATCTCGGCATTACCTCTATGTTTCTCACTTTATATGTGATATGTCTTTGCTAGTTTCGTTGACTGAGTGAAGTTATCCGAACTGTTGTTTGGAGGTGGTCTGACTAGGTGCATACCTTTGTATGTTCGCTTATAGGGGACGCTGCTTTGATCTGAAGCTCGGAAGGAAGGCCATCACAGCCGGCCTACCAGTTCTGCAAACCTGAGTGGACATTTGTTTGGACTGAAGAACCACGTTCATAATCCGCAGGTCACGTCCTTGGTAATTTGGTGATTGATTTTGCTACGACATTATCTAGGGACAGTTCTCTCGAAGGTATCGCCACTGCTCTTGAGCCCCGGGCGGTCACTTCGCGCTCATCATAACCTCCAGCCTCGGGAACACCGTGTACGGGTCGTATCTAGCCACATGTTCCTTTCGATGTTCTTCCAAATCGTGCTTCGCCTATTTGCGCTCGCTCAACGGATTCTCCAGGAGAATGTGGATGGAACATGGCGCATTCCGAAGGCGCGCTGTCGATAACAGGATAGCTTCTTCTTCACCGGCCGAAGGCAATAAAACACGGAGAATGCTCGGTTCACCGTAGTGCTATGAGTTTGGGTGACGCGGGCTCCGTATAAATTTGGCGAGTTTAACCTATGATGTCACATATGGAGTTCTAATGGTTCACAGCATCGAGTTATTTTCCTTTTAAGGAATTTGACGTTAACTGGAACATTGGTGCAGGTTATCGACGGTACACTATGTATAGTTCTGATTGCTGTCAACCTGCTAATTGATTTGCCTACAACCAGTGGAGGCTGTGGAAGTGCAGCCTCGCCATCTATATTTACTTTCGGCCCAGCAGAAGTAACTGAATGACTAAATTTCTGGTTGCGTTCGGTGGAAACCATGGTTCAACCACCAACAATGTTGACGTCCTTCTGAAAATTTGGAAGAGTTTAGAGGGTGGATGTGGCCACGACCTTACTTACTCCAATCGGACTAGCGGCGATAGTTGTTTAAAGCGTATTTGGGCAGCTAATACCCGAAGCCACAGCATACGCCTTTTTATTGCTCTGCTCAGCATCCTCCCGTTGTTTTGCAGTGGAGCACTTGGATAATAACGCTGATTTTGTACTGAAACTGTTTCTTAATTTAAACCCGTATTCTTCTCCTAACCTTGATGGCCTACATCCATTGTTCCTTAAAACTGTAGCCGAGCACATCACTGCACCTATCTGTCAGATATTCCGTCTGTCTTTTGATACTAGACATCTTCGCGCTACCTGGAAATCGTGCATCATCAAGCCTGTTTATAAAGGAGGAAACCGACAAGATCCAGCGAATTATCGTCCCCTTTGTTTGACATATGTAGCATGCAAAATTATGGAACGGATAATAAAATGCGCGCTATGCCTCCACCTCGAATAGTTAGATTGCATCTCTTCTGCCCAACATGGATTTCGAAGCGCTCGCTTATGCATCACGAACTTGCTTGTGGCAAGGGAGAAATGGGTGAGATCACCAGATATTGGCAAACGATTGGATGTTGTGTTTG